AATATACTAAGATAAGTACCTGAAAAAAATTCACGTTTTTACTAATTAGTTATTTTTTAAAGCTTAGAACACCAGATCAGTTCCAGAAGGTCCCCAAAAATAAGGATAAAATATTCAGAAATGCATGTATTTAAGTAGAGTAACCAATGAAACCAGAACATTCAGATGGCCTGGGTATAAACAGAACACCCAATAAACCTGATATAGGTTCAGAAAACAAAAGATTCACGTTAAGATTTGAATTAATTGTAGTCAGTACAATTTGGTGGATTTTTTTTTTTTTTTTTTTGTAATTACAAAACAAATTATTTGTGGAGGTGATTAGATCAATGTAGCTACTTGCAGAGAGGTATGTTTTGTTTTTGTTCCCCCACCCACCCACCCAACCCCCCCTCCCAATGCTTGGTCCAATATGACATTCTGACTTTGGAAAGTTGTGATAGTATACCTATCACTAGCACACTTCCCAACTAATGTATAATTATGGTACAGCAAGCAACTGCAGAAGGGAGTTCTGAGCAGTTTTCTGCATCCGAATGTACATCTAGTACTGACACTTCACCGATGTCAAATTATGACGTGCAAGATAAACCAAAAAATATGTGAGACCCCCCTGGGACTGAGATTGTAAACAGTAAACAATGCTGTCACACAAAATAATTCACATCAGTTGCTAATTTCAACTCATTCAAACAGTGCATTTCAGTGCAGACATGTAAAACTGCAGGAGGAATACCTATAAGAATGGGGAAGCAGGTGCTACCACAGCAATAAGAGCTGATGTTAGAGAAGTCATCCACAAGCAGAGTGCATTGTTTTATGGTTGCTTTTTGTCTTTTTTTTTTTTTTTTTTTTTTTTTTACTTTGCGTGTATCTTTGATATTACAATATGTCAAGATACCATGCACAGACAAAAAGGGAATTGAGACAGGATCAAATTTTCAGGTGGTGTCAGCATAACACTGCTATACCAACTGAAGACATAGCCCTTAAAGTTTGTGAAAGACCTTTGAGGCACTGGACAGACACCACCATACAAATGCAAAGTAAGGTATCCCTGCATATTGCTGATGAATCACTGCCTTGTTCCTGTTAAGAAAAAAGATAAACAAAGCGAAGGCCATGAGTCAATACAAAGTCAAGATAAAATACATGCAGACACAGTTATGTCCCGTTAAAATATATTTAAGTGATCATTTTCCTCCTTCCTTTTCTTTCTCCTTCATGCCAGAAGTCTGCAATACTCATGCTGATCTCACTTCCAGTGGTAGGGAATCTGCTGAAGTCACGCATTTAGACATTTTTGCACAAGGAGGCAAAAAAATCAGTCATCAGTTATTTGCTTGGTTATTCCTTTCAGCAACTCAAGAGTGCCATAAAGGCAGAAACATTTTCAAGCTTTATCAAGTATAATCTGACAATCCCCTCTGGTAAAAACCACAGATATAAATAAGCATATTCTTCACACGCATTAGTCTGCTGCTCAGGGCAACACAAGGGTGACCTACGGGCTAAGAGATCCCAAATACCCTCTCTCCTTGACCCATCTCAATGTTTCAACCACCCCAGAAATGGCAACTTCCAGCCCATTTATCCAGCTTCTACCTTGGGGAACATGGTAACATTAGGTATCACAAAAGCTGTCCTTAGTCCATACACAATGTTTTCTGTTTTATCTCAATGCTTTTGTCTATTGAAAGGAGTCTGTTACTGAACAAACTCCCAAATAATGAAGCACTGATATGTCTCTAAGAGAGGAAGGAATCAATTTTTCAGACGTATGTTGAAAATAAGCACACAGGTTACCTCTGCAGTTTTAAGAGAGCGTAGGGACCAAGCTCAAGCATCTGAGTCCTAACTGGCCCCTCAACTCCAATGTTAGTTTGTTCTCTTCCAGACCAACTTCACTCCTTCCAAGATAAATTGGTGAAGTGGGATTCAGTCCTACAGCCAGAGGGATAGGTAGTGCCCCTCTTGTGGCACAGACCGCAAGATAGGGCCCAACCTGAATCCTTCAGGAGTCCAGAAGAAAGGTCAGCTACCACACTTGGAGACCTACCACCCCACTAAGAACAAGCGGCAGCAGCTCAAGCACTTTTTTCCACCAAGTTAAAAAGCACTAAGAACTTGTGAAGGGGGAGGAAAAGGCAAAGAAATATGCCTTCTGCTGCCAGTCCTGTCACACTATTCCCTTTTTGGATTGCCCGGACCATTACCTGTGAAAGCATTCCCAAATCTAAAGATTTCATGACTTTAATATAAATTATCAAATGACGCAGTTTAAGCGTGCATTGCTCCATTATTCCTCTCTGCTTAAAAAGTTTAAGCCATTCACTTGGAAAGAAAGAGCATGGTCTGACTTCAGCAGCCAGTCAAGCACATCACAAACAAATACCAGCTACTTACAGAGCAGAGGCCTCACAAGCAACTTGTCAGCTGAAAACTGTTCAGAAGGAATTCAGCAAACACTAAGAAGTTACAAATGGAAAAGAGTACTGGATTATGAAGGATTTAGAAGAGGAAAAAACAAAGGTAGATTTTGCCATAAATTATTTGGTATTCACTCACAATATGTGAAAAGTTTTTATCCATTTTTAAGTCTGTTTATTCTTCTATTGTTCTAGGAAAGATGACTACATGTTGCGACATGGCATTTAGCGTGGTATTCGGTAATGGCACTGCTCCTGTCTTAACGCACGTTTTTCAGCAAAACTGTACCTTAATTAAGTTATGTTATCTAATCCCAACAGCTGGCTAATTATCTGACATATTTTATACCCTCTGGCATTGAATCTGACAGGACACGATCTATTACCCCACAGTCTCCTGAACTCACATTTAAACTTTCAACCAACCCCCAAAAATCCCAGCAGTTACTGCTCAGAGCCTCTGTACAGGACGTTAGCTTGAAGCAGTGCTTGCTTCAGGACAGGAGCCAACAGGAAGGGACAGCACACATCCCAACAGCCATCAGGCAGTCAGTACACACACAGTTTTCTTCATGGATGCGACAATTGAAGTGATTTTTCCCTCTATGGTTACGTATGAAACAATATTTTTCCTCTTGGATCTGTATTCAAGTTTTAAGCCACATAAGTCCAGGGCTGAAGACATATGAGCTACCGTAGGCAAGGCCCTCTTCCAGCCAGTAGTAAACCTGAATTACTTGGAAAGTCCTCCCGTGGAGCAAACAGAGTTATCTGCACTATCTGAAGTGCCCAGGTAGTGCCATGAGATGAGAACTGAGGGGAAGGGGGACAGTCTGCATGGCTGCCACTCTGAATGGATCTTGCTGTGTACAGATAGCATATCTTTCCTCCTCCCAAAAGGAGGTAAGATACTCCATTGCTTGTGATAACACGTTTTTACAGGCTACTTTAACCCCCAAAAGGAGGTACTTAATGAACAACAATAATGCAGTAACAGGTATTCTGCTGGGATTTTGGCCTCTGGTTGCTGATAGGAAGCTTGCTTTCTCATAGCCACTTAACTTTGGCAGGATTTCTAAAGGCACCAAGAAGAAAGAAGAGCACAAACCCCAGAGTGTACCCAGATCCAGGCTTAGCTGCATTTACTCTGGACCTCTCTGTTATCAAGTAAGTTGCCACAGGAGCCAAGCACACTGCAGCACCAGCCCTGTTTCACAGCAGCAAAGCTTCAGCACAGAGCAGTTAATGGATTTGCCCGGTCCCCCGTGCGACCTGACCTACCCCCAGCACGTCCTGCAGCACTGACCTTGCGTTCCCCTTCATTCCCTCATCACAGAGGCATTTCTGCACCATCTCTCACACCTTCTCTCATGCTCGGAACAGCTTTCCAAGCTCTAGTCAGCACACATCAGCCCCTCACCTCATTCAGACTGCTCCTGAGAAATCCCCCCGCCTACAAACATCAAAGAGCAGGCCCTGTGCTGAGCTCCTCGTTCACATGGCACAAGAATCTGGCCTTCCATGTTGGTATAAATGGAGAAGCCGATAAAATATAGGTGCATCTAAACTCAGAAGCCATGAATCCACAAGCTGTAATATCGCGCTCCTCCCTTTTTTGATGTCTGTTATATGCTCATTTATCACATCTGTCATTTAGGGCAGTAAGCACCTCATGAAAAGGACCCAGCCTCTGGCTGTTTCCTAAGACATACCTAGAGCAAACACGGGGATTATGCAGCAAGATAGAGCGCCCTGAGTCTCCTGCTGTAACAGCACAGTTACAGACAGACTGACTAAAATGTTGTGAATGCATGAAAGCAAATGGAAACATTCTGTTTTGAAAATGTGATGTCTGGGCACTTTCCCGTGGTTGAACTTATTTTTCTAAGGAGTGTTTGTCTCAGGAGAAGCTAAGCCTGCTGAACCTTTTCCAAGACTAAAGAAAGCATATCAGTCCTGACGCCAGTTATCCCAGTGAGCGCTATTCCTCCCTCTGTCCCCAGGCTGTCTGACTTCTCCCCTCCACCAGCGGAGCCATCCTAGGCTCTGAATCTGTTCCAGCACTGTGGGCTGAAGAGGTCAGAGGTACCACATGGCCACAGCTGCTATCACAGACACCTCCACGGGGTTACAGCCTACCAAGAAACCAGGGCACGCTTCCCAGTACTTTCAGAGCTGTTACGAGGAGTAATATGAAGTATTTCTTTTGCTGCCCCTGGAATATGCCACACAGCAGAGCAACCCTTCATTTCCAGCTCCTGGGGACGGCCTCAGCATTCCTGCTTCACACAAAGATGAGTGGATCCAAGAGCGCAGATTAGTCCCAGGTGTGATTCACTGAAACAACCAGCTGCTTTGAAGATCTGTTTGCTTATTGCAGGGAGGAGAAAGAAGCAGCGTCCTCCCGCTTGCAGATGTGACCCTCAGCTCTCCCACCTCAGCTGTGCCTCTACCTGCCTCAGGCTGTGCCCCACATCCCCTCCAGCTCAGCTGGCTGAACTGTTTGCAACCCAGGCCCTTTCACTAACACCTCTCAAACCAATACTTTTGGCTAGTGCAGCTTGCCTGGACTGAATTAGACCCAGGAGCACCAGCAGGTTGCTTCCCTGAGCAGTGACCCCAGGGGCAGCACTGGGAAATGGGGGCTGGCCTCCCGGGTCCCAGCCCAGCTCTAATCCCAAGGGGACTCTTTCTTGCCCAAGGGAGAGCAGGCAGGACCCCAGAGCTCCTGCCACCAAAGGACCCGCTTTCAGCTCACCAGCAGAGCTGGTGTTATCTGCACTGCTCCTGCTGTGACTTCAGTGCAAAGGTCATTAGTTGCAGACACGCAAATCACCTGATTTGCATCTCTCTAAAGTGTAGCTGTAAAAATACTTCAGAGAATGATCACAGGGTGAAAGGAATCATTTTGGCAGAGCTGATGAAAAACGTGATCTCTTTACGGGCACCTTGGCTGCCAGGCCACCTCAGCTCAGCCCAGCCCTGACCTGCAGGGCTGAATTTCTCGCAGGAGAGGAGCGCAGATGTTCAGCATCTGCAGCAAGGCGCTCTGCCGAGCCACATAACTGACAGCAGTGAGTGTGTTTTGTGATGTGGGTGCCACAACGGAGGCTGCTGCAAAGAGCAGCCACCCGTTGACTTAGCTTGCTTTCTTACAGCTACTGTTAGTCTGCCTTGGGTTCACATGGATGAAGATCTGAAGCTTAATGCAGTCCCTTGAAGTGTCCAGGCCCAGTAACTATTGAGATTGGGAGAGAGATTTGCCTCCAGAAGGACACCAGCATCAAGCAAGCTCCAACATTTTGGAGCTCACCTGAGGAGTTTGCAATGTTGCACTTGCACGTCTCCTCAACCAGCACCTCCACCTCTCTCAGCTTTCAGAGGTGGATTTAATTAACTGTAGCAATTAATCAGGCATCTCAACTCCACCCAGCCTCAAATGTCACCTCTCAGCACCTGCTTCACTCTAAAATGATCTCCATAATAGTAATTACAGCAGGACCTCACAGGACTTTTGGCAAACATGCCCCCAAGTGGACCATCCCGTGGGGAATGCCAAATCATCACGTCCACAGAACAAGCCTCTCCCGCTGCAGCTCAGAAAAGGCATGCTGTTCTCTGGGTGTATCAACCAACACTGGCAAACTGCAGAAATCCACAATTATTTGGAAACCTAATGCATTAATTCAGAGTGTTATGTATCCCTCTGCTAGCTTCTCCTTGGATCTCAGCGTGCAGTATGATCTCTCAACCAAGGTGGGCAACAGGACAGCTCTATTGCCATCACCTTCAGGGATCACAGAGAGGGTCTTCCAAAAATCTAGAAGCACAGAGCATGCAGCAAGTTAGACTACAGAGTTTTTCTTCCTGGAGAAAAAAAAAAAGCAACAACACATTAAACCTTTCCCTGTGTTTCACTCATCACAGACACGTTGCTTCCTGAAAACAATGCGGAAAAGGGAGTGAAAGGTAGGTTTACCTTTACCATAGGAGAAATCTGGGTCCCCACATTCAGCCCTGGCTGGTGCTCCCTTCCCCAGATTCTGATTTCCTACAACTAAGAGAAGGGATTAGTCTGAAGAGTCTTGAAGTGCACAGAAAGGTTATGCACAGTCAGTAAGGGAGCAGAGATTAGATCCCATGGGCTGTTAGGCACTAGTAGAGTGCATTTGCCCAAGGCTATTCTGTGTAGGAAAGGCTCTGTTGTGCATGACATTTTACTAGTTGGGCAGGAACACATGACAGAGTATCTGACAAGAACATGACAGCAGGGTCTTTATATGGCTCAGCAAGCTTCACATGGATCAGCGAAGCAGCACTGGTCCAACTCAGACTGAAAGAAGTGCTAAAAAAATAAACAGAAAAGTTTTGTTTTTTTTTTTTCCTTCTTTCTAAGAGTATTTAAATCAACAAACAGCTATGTACTCTACTTGTTTTCAACTTCTGCCATGGCCCTTGAGGCTGATATTTCAGACAGGCTGAATACTGTACCTAGGGTTTCATCTGCACTTATCCAATAGTATGGATAAGCAGCCTGATCCCTCCTGAACCCATGAAGGAACAGCTCATGGATTCTTGAAAAAGCAAGAGCTAGTGGGTGAAGATGACAGACAGATGCCCCCAGCTGGCTGCCCCACAGATCAGGCCTGCTACAGTCAACCACAGCAGCTTTCTTCCGTGCAAGCAGCAGAGAGTGCTGATGTACCTGGATTCCAGCAACACCAGCTCCCCTCTGAGCTTTCTGCAGCAAAGAGGGACTGCACTGGCAGAGTATTCATAATGCTGTGGGTGAACATAGACATCAGTGGTGTTTCCAAATCCAGTTTCCAAGACAAAGTTTCCACTTGCTCAGCCAAAGCCAGAGCTCAAGGAAAAAAAAAAAAAGAAACATACTACATATTTAGCAAATGCAATGTTTTCTCATCCAAACTGGCCATGAACTTTGCCATTGGTACTTCCTCTTGTACTTTTCAAGTTCACACCTGACACCATTCAGCAGTTTGCACGGTCAGATAAGAGACAGAACCAAGGCACAAGTCTTGAAGATGAAGCATGGCACTGAGACGCAGGAGGCTCTGCCACTCGGAGACCTCTTCAAACAGACACAGCAGGACCCAAAGACATCAAAACAGAGCACAACTCACTCGTCTTTGCTCTGGCTGAACATTGACACAAAAATACATGGGCTTACTCTTCCCACCCAGGCTTTTAGAAAGGAGTTGGGGTGCCTGCGGTGGGCGTGCTGGTGGCACCACTGAGAGCCCCTTTTCTGGAGGATGAGATTACCACCTGTTGTTGGCTCCAAATGCAACACAAGGTCTGGCCATTAAGATGACGTGCAGTAGCTTAGGAGCAAAACGCTGCCAATTAACTGAAATTCTGCTGGCACGCTCAACCTCTCATTTGGGAAAGAATAGTGCAGCATCCTTGAGAGTTTGGTTTGCTTAATACTAAAAAAATTCAGTTGATGATGAAGAAAGAAAACTAATTGCAGCATTGTTATGCAAACACAAGAAAATGTATTGTTACACAAGTCAGTGATCTTGCAACTATAGTGTCTTTTGGCCTGGGCTTCCAGAGATGATCTTGGTCTTCAAGATGTCAGCCCTCATTTTTTAAGTCTTCAACCTGCTACAATACAAAGAAATCCTAAAAATAAAAACCAAATGCAGCTGGCAGTTAAAATCCTACATGAGGAAGGCTTGGCAACATTTCTGACAACCATTTTATTTATCAATTTATTTCAGATCAACAGGGTTTGATATTGCACGTCAAACTTGGATCTGCGTATTGAAAGAATTGACAATGACTTCAAATCAAACTCCTTTCCTCAGGCTTTAAAATAAGTTCTGCTTCGGTGGGGGAGGGTTAAAAAGCAAAATAGAGTTTAATTTTTAATGACACTTTAAATGAAAATGACAAAAGGCTCAGATAAGAGTTACTAGATACTGCTTTGGCCAGAAGTGACTTTTGACTGACTTTTTTTAAGAATTAAATAAATTTTAGTTGACACAAAATAGTGTTTGACTGGGAAACAGTGAACAGGGAAGTCAGAGGGTCTGCAACTTCTGCATTTAAAATATCAGCATCGCTACCTTCATTTCCTTTGTGAAGAAGAACGAACGCTCAACTGTCTGAGCAAAGCTGAACAGTCACTGGAGACACCAGTAGGGACTGGCTGGAGGCAGCCTGAGGCCAAGTCCTGCCCTGCTGCAACAAGTGGAGAGCCCTGAATGGGCTTTGGTGGCTGGTGGGGTCCAAGCTCTCTGAGCTCCTGCACTGCATCTCCCCAGATGCCCATGTCTATGATGTCATGAGATGCCACGGGAGGCAGAGTTTGGACCCAGTCACCACTAGCCCCTCTCCTTCCCCCATCCAGGGGCCACCAGCATCACGAAACTAGCCAGCCCAGAGAGCCCATGGAGCAAGCATGGCCACGTCTCACCACCTCTCCCCTCGGGAAGGCATGAGATCTGGTGGGAGAGCCCTATACTTAAAGCCCATACAACTTGCACAACAGAAACCAGGAGCTGCGAGCCCTCTTACTCCACCACTACTCTCCAGCAAGGAGAGTGACTTCTGGCATCTACAGTTACACCCTTCTTGCCCAAGAGCAGCTGCTCTGTTTTTCCGCTACAGAGAGCGGTGGTTTATTTTGGCACGTTATTCTTATTTTGTAAGTATTTTGTATTTGTATAACCATATAATTTTGCAGCTAGAACTTTCCCTTCCTTACTTAGCAGGTGATGCTGTACGAGGGCAAGTGGTAGTCGTCGATCTGACATGTTGAGGCTCATCAGCTCTCTGCTGGGGAACAGCCTTTGTTTCCAAGGTCTAGACCAGAGAAAGACCCTTGCGGCAATGTTAACCCAAGCCTCACTAAACAAGGCAGAAAAAACATTCTTCTGTGCACTCTCAGAGTTACAAGTGTATCTCTGGTACCTGGTTAGCCTCCAGGCTCTTTCAGAGTCAGAGGTAGGGAGATAACTCCTTATGGTGCCCCCTGCTCTAAATAAAAAAACATATTCATAGACAGCCTGCAGCATACAGCAGCGTCAAGGCTACTTCAGCTGACGTACGGTCTAAGTCCATGCACAGTGAGGTGTGCAAGAAGGCAGTAGGTATTTGTGGAGAAGGAACAAAGGTGAGGGCAGGGATCATGCTCAGTTATGAGAGCTAAAGCCATAGCAGAACTCACGCATGAACAAACCCGAAGCTGCTGGTAGGAGTGCAGAACACAGCTGTTTACACAAGTCAAGACACAAGCCTTGTTCTTCACAGCTCTCAGCTCTACTCGTTCAGCACCTGGTTCGGTCTCTTCTTAGGAAAGGCCAGAGTCACAGACTTGAGATTTTGCAAGCAACAGAAGGCACGTGTACCCGGCGCTGTGACTCAGCCTGTGCCAGCATGAGTCCTGAGTCACACCGCCGTCACCTGGATCTGACCTCCTCCCAAAGTCAGCAGCACCTGAGCCAGCTATGGCACCGCAGACCAACTCTGCTTCCAGTTTCTTCAAGTAAGAGGACAGTTTCAATACAATCAAAGAAACCTGTGCCTGATGCTATTTTCTTTCATCACAGCTTTCAAATAATGCTCGGTTCAAATCGGTCTCATTTGTACTTGTTGCAAGAAGCCACATGTTCTACATTCACGTCCCCGTGCCACAGGAAGATGCGATGCACCCAAGACATACAGTAGGAATTTGTTTCTGTCCAGTGCACAGATGTTGAAAACTAACCAGGCATTATCACTGTAAAAACACATTAGATCCGTTGACAAAGGAATGACTTAAATCACTCAAAGACCAAGGGGGAGAGTGACAGTCTTTTCTAAATTTACATTTTTTACTCTTTAGCAAGAAACGAAACAAAATCTACATTAAGGACGCGATTGAGATTTACAAAGTGTAAGCACTTGGAGTTACAAACTGCCAGAATTTCAGATGTCAGTGTAATCTCAGTTCAGCACTCTTGTGAATGCGCACTGAGACAGGTTTTACTTATTCGTATCACCCACCAATGAATGCAGGCACCTCATGAGTGGAAAGCAGAGCTGCATTACCATAACACATTGACAGAAGTTTAGGAAGGGGAGAGGGGGGAAAAAAAAAAAAACACTGAAAATAAACTGGGTAACATAATACTGGATAGAAACAAATGGAAGATGCATAAGTAGTTACTAGCACAATAGCCCAGACCTGATACTGTTACAGCTAAAAGACAGCCCCTCTGCATCCTGCCAAGAATGACCTCTAGCAGCCAAAGAACAGAGGACCTTGGACAGCTTTGTTGGTTGTTTTTCTGCATGTTGTGTTGGTTTTTTTTTGTTTTTGTTTTTAAACAAAAGAGATTTTCAGCATCATTTCCTCTTTAATCACAATAAGCATTTGTTTTTGAGCACGTACTTCAAAGTAAGTTACTGTACAGATAAAGAACAGTATTCAAGACTGAACAAAAATGCAAGTAGCCCACAAGTATCTCCTGTACAACTGCATATCTTCATTTTGATCTTCAACATAGATTCAGATTTGTTGGGAAGCTAAAAAAAAAAAAAGTCAGGCTATGCATTTCTGAAGCACCAGACAAGACAAAACCACATTCAGTTATTCAACATATCATCCAGCTAGTATAGCACTGCATATTAACTCTAGGATCAAGGAGAATCTCCTCCCCTAATTAAAACCACAGCTTGGTTTAAAATTTTAGCCCACTCCTGGTCATCCTTGTGACACAGCCAGAAGAGCGATGTGTCTCAGACTTGATAGGCTACAGCCACAGCTGAAGGAGAAATCCTGAACTGTGCACGCACTCAAAAAAAAAAAAAAGTACAGCTCTATGGTAAGAGCATGTATTCTTGGAAGAGGAATTAAATACAAATGCAAAAATACCATTTCAGACTTTTTTTTTGGTTACATGCCTCACCATAACAGGAAAGAAAAACCCTACAAAACAGAGACATGGAATAGATTCTGTGGACTTCCCCAGAAACGCAATCTCATTAAATGACATTTTAAGCAATACTAGCATTGCCAGCTCAAAGTGTTTAAGCACCATCATG